GCTAGGCAGAGGTGTGGCCAGGCAGCTGTGCACGCTGCCTCCGCCAAGAGCGCCAGCTCCGCAGCTCCCATTGGCCACGGTTCCCAGGCAGAGCTGTCTGGCCACGCCTCTGCCTAGGAGCTGAGGGAGAGGGGATGTTGCCACTTCTGGGGAGCCCCCTGAGGTAAGCACCACCCAGAGCCCACCTCACCCTGTCCTGTGTCCCAACCCCCTGCCCCCTCCCACACCCAAACTCCTGCTGCTGCTGCTGGGTGAGTGGGGACGGGGGCAGCGCGGTGGCCCACGACTGGCACAGTAGTGGCCGGTGCGACTGGCCCAGGGGCTGCCTGAGCTGCTCAGGCAACCACCGGGCCAGGTGCACCGGCCACTGCAGAAGTCACGGAGGTCATACAAAGTCACAGAATCCGTGATTTCCATGACAAACTCGCAGCCTTATTGATAATTAATAATAGCTAACACAGGTGGAGCTCAGCCAGTGTCACCAAGAGTGGGACATTGTTGATACATTTCCCTAATAATGATTCTTTCCTCTATTACAGATGCATGTAAAGGCTCCACACTGAGATCAGGACCGTGGCATGTTAGGTACTGTAAAAACATGCAGTAAGAGACAGTCCCTTCCCCAAAGAGCTAAGACAGGGACGGACGGGAAAGAAAGCATTATTGGCCCCATTTCACAGATGGGGAACTGAGGCGCACAGGGATTCATGACTTGCCCAAGGTCACCCAGGAAGGCTGTGGTAGAGCCAGGAATGAATCCAAGTCTCTGGCATCATAGTCCAATGGCTTAACCACAGGACCCTCCTTTGCCTCGGAAGGACATGTACGCCAATTTCAGAAGCAAGGGACAGCTGAATGAAGAGCCTGTAATAAAGCACGTAGACAAGCTTTGTGAAATATTATTATTGTATTTAGTACCATAGGAATGATTTAAAGCAGGAACGCCAGTGAAGCCTTTCCTTTCTATTTTAACAATGGGAGGAAGCTCTGCTTTAACCACAGAATTCCCTAGGATACTAAATCGGACACTAGAATTCCATTCTATTAAACTTCTCTGGCAGGTGTTTTAAGATAAGTGCTTTGCAGTAATATTTAAATGGGGATCAGTGGAGCTCAGACATTACTGGGCTACAGCAAACCCAATGTGCCACAAGATCTTCTCTGGTCTTGAAGCTCTGGATATGTTCGAGTGGTTAAGCAGGAGAATTGTCCCTCCCTGAACAGAGAAGTTTTAGCACCAGGGGCAGATTGGGAAGTAAGATCTGTTCCTGGCACTTGCCTTGCACCCCTACCGCCTTCCATAACCCTCTTATAAGCTGATTGACAGGTCTGGCAACAACATATGCAACTAGAAAAATTAAGCAAAACCATGCAGCTAGCCAGAGGTTCTGTGGAGAAGGTACTTATACAACCCTCCCCAGCAAAGGAACAGAGCACCTCCCAAACAGGAATCCATTCATTTTCCCACCACCAGCTATGTGTGGCAGGGAGGAAAGTTTAGTGTGGTTTCACAGAGAGAGAGCTGAGCCAAAGAAAGGGGAAGTGACGTGCCCAAGGGCACCCAGGAGTTCTGTGGCAGAGGCAAAAATGGAACTTGGCTCTCCTGAGTCACAGCTCAGGGCTTTCATCACAAGCCCATCCACTGACTGGTCTGGTGCAGTTGCACTAGTGACAGAAGGGAGGACAGGAGGTCCTCCCCATCTGCATCCACCATGTTGTACGTTGCCAATTTGGGTGCAGCACGCAGGGATGTGGAGCTAGTTGGTGCTTCTGGCAGTGGTTACCAGCTCAGAGGGGTGTACTAGCTCAGGGGCCCTTGTTCTTTCCTGCACATCAGCTGGCAGCTGCAAGGATGCAGTGGTGGGGACCGCACTTTTTGTAAGGTATAGCAAGACCTGCTTCCCCTCCACTTCCCCGGGGCCCCGGAGAGTGCATCCCTCTAGTGCTGTGATTGGGACATGATTTAGCACAAAGGTGTTCGCAAAAAGAGCAGGCATCTTCCTGAGGTTCTTCCCCCCACCCGACAGTTCCAGTTACTGCCCGGTGGGACATGAAAGCGCAGAGCTGTTGTGTCAGAGCTGGCATTAGTCGCCTCTGCGGGGAGCTAGGTTAGCAGAAGGGAAGACACAGGGTCTTGTGGTGAAGTCCTAGGTGGGGTCTCAGGGCACTTATCTTCAATTCTCAGCTTCACCACAGCCTCCCTGCGGGACCATGGCCAGGCAACCTACTCTCTCGGTGTCAAGTATCAGAGGGGTAGCATCTGAAGAAGTGAGGTTCTTACCCACGAAAGCTTATGCTCCCAATACTTCTGTTAGTCTTAAAGGTGCCACAGGACCCTCTGTTGCTTTTTATTCTCTCGGTGTCCCTCACTTCCCCATCCATAATGGGAGCACTGGTACATCCCCACCTCACAGGGTATGCTGGGAGGATAATCCCTCAACGGTTGGACGCTCACATACTGTGATGCTGCAGGGGCCATATAAGCACCTGACTGACAGGAACTCAATGCGCTACAGCTTCCGTGCCACAGAACTGAGCTGGAGAATGCTGAGAACTGCCAGCTCCAGGTGACGTTTGAGCTCCACCTAACAGGAACATTCATTAATATGCTAAAGTGAAACAGAGAAGCAACAAGCTGAGCCTGGGAGTGGAAGAAACCACTTCTCCTTATTCAACAGCAGCCCAGCACGACTCTGGGATCTATCCCTCCGGCTGGTAAGATGGTGGCTGTGATGGGCCGGGGAAAGGCTTTGAGGAGGAATTTGTTACAGACGTTGGCAGGCCAGCTGTAGCTCAAACAGAAGCGATGGGCTTGATGCAGAGATAACCGGGTGAGGTTCTATTGCCTGTGCTGTACAGAAGGTCACTCTAGATGATCATAATGGGCCCTTATGGTCTTAAATCTAAGTGCTGAGGTCTCCTAAGGCCAAGGAACTACCTTCGATCATTTTAACTTTGCATTGCAAAGAGAAATATAGTTCCAGATACTGGTGTAGCTTTGACTGAAATGATTCACATCCATGTTCCCTCACTACAATCCCACCTTACTCACAGCACGCCAGAGATGTCAGCCACAGGCCGCAACGCTGAGGCCGCTTTTCTCACGCTAGGTGAATGGGTTAAAGAGTGCAGAGACTCTAGTAAAGCTTCAGGCTTTTAACAATCAGAGGAAGCTCTGCCTTGTTTGAGGAATTCCCCACGCCTCTAGTTCAGACGTTAGAAAACTGCTCTTTTCAGCTAGGAGGAGGGATGTTTAAATAACAAGATAAAACAATAAGCAAATGTAAGGGGACCAGAGTAAACATATTTAGTTACAGCTCAGCCATTTCAAGAAGGGGTTTTTATTTGTTATCAGAATCAAAGGAGCCAAGCTCAGGGGATAAGATCTGGGGAAGTTTGATAACAACAAGTGCCAGATTCACAGTAAGTTGTACTCCTAGGACCAGGTCCTCTGCTAAATCAGCTTTGCTCCATTCACTTCAATGGAGCTTCATTGATTTGCACCAGCCAATGAGTTGGCCCTAATTTCTTCATGTCACTTTTCATTCAAGGGCTTGGTACAAAACATTGCAAGATAATGAAAGTGAACAAAATGTTGAAAAAGTTTCTTGGTAAGCAGGAAATCTGTGGATTGAAAAATGCACCTTCTAGGGTATGATAGCAACAGGTAACTAGTGAGAAAAAGAAACTCTAGCCTTCCACAAATTAATACTGATCTCCTTTATAGTTCTGACCCATTGCTTTCCCATAGTTACAGACTTGTTTCACCGGATAAAACGATGATAAAAACAGAATTCATAATAATATTTTGCAGTTATATAGCACCTTTCTTCCCAAAATTGAAACGCTCCTTACAAACATACCTGAACATTATTCTCTCACTGATGGGGAAACTGAGGCACAGAGGTGATGCGACATGCCCAGGGTCACATAACAGCCCAGTAGCAGAGCCAGGAATAAAATCCATGACTTTTGACTCCCAGTCCCCTGGGCTAATCACTAGATAATGCTGCCGCATAAATGTAATCGCGCTTGGAGGGTTTAGTCTTTGCTGAATCAATGCTTACATGAGACTACAGTGTTGGAGTCAGGATCATCAGATCCTTCCACAAGGTGCATGTCAAAGGAAGGTGATCTACCCAGAAAGCATCTGTGCTTTCCCACTGACTCACAACTTGACACTGATGACAAGCCAACACAGAGGTAACGGCTGCTTTGCCAGGATACAAATTAACGGCAGATAAATGAGTTACTAAAAACCCAGGGAGGGTAGAAAAAGTGATGGACAATAAAGATAACTGTGAAACCCAAAGGAAGTCTCATGCTAAGGTCTCCTGTGCTGCACTTCGTATCCAAGGTCCTTCTCCTTTAAAACCCTGCTTGGTCTAATGTGAAAGTGACAGAGCCAGACTGCAAGAGATCACGTTTAAAATAAATGATTATGGCATAATCTGAATGGAATATGTCACATTTATCTACACTGCAAACCCCAGCCAGAGGAGAGATTTAGCAGGGGGAACATTATTTTGTCATCACCAGCCTGAACAATCAAGTTCTTTTTATAGTTCTTGCAGTTTCTCAGAGGTTGATAAGTAACTGTAGGCAACATGTTTAATTTTGTTTCCTACATAAAACCAGTGCCTCCTTAATACAGCACCTCCTATCACCTCCATCTCTGATGCACTGAATTGTATCTAGCTTAGTCATAGTCGCAGTTAAAACCTACCCAAAAGGATGTAGCAGAAGGTTACATAGTGTAGTTCCCACTTCCACAAGCTGAAAATATCATGCTGGAAGCTGTCATCTTATCACCTTAAAATAAAACATTTCTTATGGCAGTTACGCTAATGTAAATCTGCACAGGGTCCATGGACTCTGACTGAGTTATTCTAGGTTTGCACCATGAGCTTAGAGTCAGGCCCTGAAAACTTTCCTGACCAAATGATTTCACAGCATGAGGGGGAATGGCTGTTGTTACAGTCAACGTGCGTAGTCCTTACCTGAAGGAAAGCAAGTGCCAGGCTCCCCTGAGCAGTCTTTCTCCTGCAATGGGTAGGGCGCTTCCTGGCCAAGTGTGAGCTTCAGTCTCAATCTCTGTCCTTTGTTTTCCCATAGAATCCTCTATAGCTCAGTGACATCAGGAAGACACACCTGTTTTTCACCCTCTGGGAAAAATAGTAGAACAGCCTGAGAGCAATTTTCAGAGACACACACAGAGCGAGAAAGCGACTTTGGATTTAAGTGAACAAACCAAACTAACATCCAACAAAGATCCCAACTTCCCCTTTCTGTGGCCAATGAGGATCTATCCCATCATTCACATTTCAGGGTGGAACTCCAGTAAATACCACACGGGACCGACTGGCTCTCTGCCATATAGGCAGGGTCGATTTCCCCCACTGTCTCAGTTCTCACGGTGTCTAGAGGGCAGAAGTGTGTTGCCTTCTCCTGCTGCTGCTGGTCTGAAACACTAAGCTGGCATTTAGCCAGGAGAGAGGGAGGAAGCCCAGGGAAATGTAAAAGTGAAAACCTTTTCCATGGGATTTCCTGTGCTTGAGGAAAAGTGAGGCCGGGGGGGGGAAGTTCCCCATGGAAGTGATGGAGAGTTTAATTTCAACACAAGACAAACACTATTTCACCTGTTGCTTCATTTTTTGATAGTTTGTGGGGCTGAAATAGAAAAGGCGACTGGCTTAGGAGATGAAGTCCCGTTGTCAGATGTGACCCAGACTCTTTTTGGGGGGGAGGGGCTCGATCCCCAAAGGAGACTTAGACTCAGTGTTGCAACACCAAATGTTCGAGCACCCTGCTGCCTCGTGGAATGCCCAGCTCCCGGGGTGGCCACCCCCTAGAATGCCAGGGCAGAGATGGACACCTGTGAGCAGGAGAGGGCGAGTCGCGTAATTCCCACCCTCTACTGAGATGGGTGCCCAGCTATCAGTCAGGGGCAGATGCCTCCCTCCACCTAGGTTTCACAGCTGGTAACCCCTGCCTGGAGGCAAGCACCTAAGTCAGGTCAGCTCTTTAGCCACTAGTGGTGACCTGCTTATATCCAAAATCCCAGTGGTTGAACACTCACCCACGATGCGGGAGACCTGGGCTCAAATCCCTACTCTATCTGATATGCACTAGGGACTTGAACCAAGCTCTCCTGCTCCCTAAGTGAGTGCTCTAACCACCAGCCTGTAAACTATTCTGGACTGGGGAGGTGAGAGAAGCTCTCAAACTTTCCTGTTGAAGCTGTTCTACTCTCTTAACAGATCAAGAGGAACCGATCACAGAACTACAAAATAATGGTAGCTTAGGTACAAGTGATCATAACTTGATCACATTTATAATTTGCAAACAGAATAAAGTCCAGACCAGCTCTATAGATACACATGGTGCTTTAATAGGGCCAATTGCACAAAGCTGAAAACAATTATAAGCCAAATCAGCTGGGAGGAAGAATATAATCAGAAAAATGTGAATGATAATTGGGAATCATTTAAGAACACTTTACTAGATTCTCCAAAAGCCACATTCAAGGAAGAAGCACTGGCTTAAAAATAAATGACCTGGTTTAGAGGGGAAGTGAAAGCATAAGAACATAAGAACATAAGAATGGCCCTACTGGGTCAGACCAAAGGTCCATATAGCCCAGTATCCTGTCTTCTGACAGTGGCCAGTGCCAGGTGCCCCAGAGGGAATGAATAGAACAGGTAATCATCAAGTGATCCATCCCCTCATTCCCAGCTTCTGGCAAACAGAGGCTAAGGACACCATTCCTGCCCATCCTGGCTAATAGCCATTGATGGACCTATCCTCCATGAATTTATCTACTTCTTTTTTGAACCCTGTTATTGGCTTGGCCTTCACAACATCCTCTGGCAAGGAGTTCCACAGGTTGACTGTGTGTTGTGTGAAGAAATACTTCCTTTTATTTGTTTTAAGCCTTCTGCCTATTAATTTCATTTGGTGACCCCCAGTTCTTGTGTTATGAGAAGTAGTAAATAACACTTTCTTATCTACTTTCTCTACACGAGTCATGATTTTATAGACCTCAATCATATCTCCCCTTAGCCGTATCTTTTCTAACCTGAAAAGTCCCAGCCTTATTAATCTCCCCTCATATGGAAGCCATTCCATACCCCTAATCATTTTTGTTGCCCTTTTCTGAACCTTTTCCAATTCCAATATATCTTTTTTGAGATGGGGCGACCACATCTGCATGCAGTATTCAAAATATGGGCATACCATGGATTTATATAGAGGCAACATGATATTTTTTGTCCTATTATCTATCCCTTTCTTCCCAGCATTCTGTTCGCTTTTTTGACTGCCACTGCACATTGAGTGGATGTTTTCAGAGAACTATCCACAATGACTCCAAGATCTCATCCTTGAGTGGTAACTGCTAATTTAGACCCCATCATTTTATATGTATAGTTGGGATTATGCTTTCCAATGTGCATTACTTTGCATTTATCAACATTAAATTTCACCCAGTTTTGAGAGATCCTTTTGTAGCTCTTCGCAGTCTGCCTGGGTCTTAATGATCTTTAGTAATTTTGTATCTGCAAATTTTGCCACCGCACTGTTTACCCCTTTTTCCAGATCATTTGTGAATATGTTGAATAGGACTGGTCCCAGAACAGACCCCTGGGGGATACCACTATTTACCTCTCTCCATTCTGAAAACTGACCATTTATACCTACCCTCTGTTTCCTATCTTTTAACCAGTTACAAATCCATGAGAGCACCTTCCCTCTTATCCCGTGGCAGCTTACTTTGCATAAGAGCCTTTGGTGAGGGACCTTGTCAAAGGCTTTCTGAAAATCTAAGTACACTATGTCCACTGGATCCCCTGGGTCCACATGCCTGTTGACCCCACTCAAAGAATTCTAGTAGATTGGTGAGGCATGATTTTCCTTTACTAAAACCATATTGACTCTTCCTCAACAAATTATGTTCATATATATATGTCTGACAATATTGTTCTTTATTATAGTTTCAACCAGTTTGCCTGGTACTGAAGTCAGGCTTACAGGCCTGTAATTACCGGGATCACCTCTGGAGCCCTTTTTAAAAATTGGCGTCACATTAGCTATCCTCCAGTCATCTGATACCGAACCTGATTTAAATGATAGGTTACAGACTACAGTTAGTAGTTCTGCAATTTCACATTTGAGTTCCTTCAGAACTGTTGGATGAATACCATCTGGTCCTGGTAACTTATTGCTGGTTAATTTATCAATTTGTTCCAAAACCTCCTCTAATGATACCTCAATCTGGGACAGTTCCTCAGATCTGTCACCTAAAAAGAATGGCTCAGGTTTGGGAATCTCCCTCACATCCTCAGCCATGAAGACCAATGCAAAGAATTCATTTAGTTTCTCCACAATGGCCTTATCGTCCTTGAGTGCTCCTTTAGCACCTCGATCACCCAGTGGCCCCACTGGTTGTTTAGCAGGCTTCCTGCTTCTGATGTACTTAAAAAAAATTTGCTATTACTTTTTGAGTCTTTGGCTAACTGTTCCTCAAATTCTTTTTTGGCCTTCCTAATTGTATTTTTACCCATCACTTGCCACTGTTTATGCTCCTTTCTATTTTCCTCACTAGGATTTAACTTCCACTTTTTAAAGGATGCCTTTTTGCCTCTCACTGCTTCTTTTACTTTGTTGTTTAGCCATGGTGGCTCTTTTTTGGTTCTCTTACTATGTTTTTTTAATTTGGGGTATACATTTAAGTTGAGCCTCTATTATGGTGTCTGTAAAAATTTCCATGCAGCTTGCAGAGATTTCACTTTTGGCACTGTACCCTTTAATTTCTGTTTAACGAACCTCCTCATTTTTGTATAGTTCCCCTTTCCGAAATTAAATGCTACAGTGTTGGGCTGCTGTGATGTTTTTTCTGCCACAGGGATATTAAATTTAATTATATTATTGTCACTATTACCAAGGCAGCTCTAAAAAAATAAAAACATAATATATAACAAATGGAAGAAAGGGGAAATTGATAGTGATGAATATAAATTAGCAGCTCAGCGTTGTAGAAATTTGATAAGTGAAGCAAAGGGCCATGATTTATGGCCAGAAGAGGTGCCGAGGTGCCGCCGAAGACCCGGAGCGCCGCCCCGTCACTAAAAGCGCCGCAGCGGGTGGCGCCTTCTTTTTTTTTGCTCCCGGGTGAGTAAAATTAAAAAGGCGCCACTTGTGCTCGGTGGGGGAGCAACCGCTGCCCCGCTCCCTCCCTAGCTACACTACTGCTCTCTCCTTAACCTGTGTATTATATAATGTCCATATTAGCTTTAATAAAAATTTTAAATGTAAATGTGGGGGTAACATAGGCACTGACTCTGTGGGTGCTCCAGGGCTGGAACACCCATGGAAAAAAATTAGCGGGTGCTTAGCACCCCCCGTCAAGCTCCCCTCCTTCCCCCCCCCAGCTCCTCCCACCCACCGGCAGCCCCGCCGATCAACTCCACCCCCTCCTTCCCAGCACCTTCCATACACCATGGATCAGTTGCTCTGCAGCGTGCAGGAGGCGCTGGAAGGAAGGGGGAGGAGCGTAGGATGACCATATGTGCTGCTTTGGGCATGACAGTCCCTTTTTTAAGCCCTATCCCGGCCATCCGGACTTTTTTGGCAGTCGGCAAGAGCAAACGGGACAAATCCCCACTTTTGCCAAAAAAGTGGTGTGTGGTGTGGAGGAATGTGCAGGCAGGCGAGTGGTGATGCCAGCCCCGTGCGGGGGAGGGGGCAGGGCTCACGTGGGGGGCAGGCAGGGCTCAGGCAAGTGGCTCAGACCAGCCCTGCAGGGGGCCCGTATGAATGGCTCAAGCCAGCCCCACGCGGTGTCCCATTATCCTTTGGGAAATATGGTCCCCTAGAGGAACGGGGATGGGGTGCACTTGGGGGAGGAGGTGGAGCGGGGGTGGGAAGAGGTGGGGCAGGAATGGGGGTTTGGGGGGAGGGGGGGAGTGGGGAGAGGTCCTGGGGCTGAGCGGGAGTTGAGCACCCCCGGGGCAAGTTGGAAGCCAGCGCCTGTGAGGGGTAATGAAATGTTGTTACCCTTATTGTCTGAGTAAAGGGCAGCAGGACTGTACTTAGCCTGTCCGGATTGAGGGGGTCACCCTCAACTGAACTAAACTTGGTAAGCAGAGGATTTGGATGCCAGATCCCAGTGGAGGAGAGAGAGGGTGAGGGAGAGCTGGCTGTATTTTA